AGCCTATAGATATATTAATACCAACTCAAAGAATTTCAACAATAGTTCCAATACAGAAAATTTCAAATCTCTTTCATTTTTCAATTGTAATTCAAAAGGAGTGATTTACTTAATCACCTGCCAATGCAACATCATGTATGTAGGCAAAACCTTCAGACCGTTCAAGAGACGAATTCTTGAACATATAAATTCAATAAAAACAGTAAGGAATATAGAAACATCGGTTTCTAGACATGTGAAATTAGTTCACAATGGGGACTCCAATGTCCTCAGATTTCAAGGCATCGAATTAATTAAACAGGACCAGAGGAAGGGCAATTGGGATCAACGTCTGAGAAGACGTGAATGCTATTGGATCTATCGCCTTAAAACCCTGTCCCCTAGGGGCCTTAATGAGGGTTTCTCATATTCCCCATTTATTTAGAAGTCTCTCCACATTCAATTCTTGTGCTCCTCAAAACAATACATTACCTATTTTAGTCACCTGTACATACACTTTTCGAGGGAACTTTCACTATTTTTATGTGTATTGCCGTCCACCCTTTCTCCCATCCTTTCCCCGTTTTCATATTTATTTTTATTTACTTTTAATTTTGCTATTTCTCTATAGAGGGCTCATTATGTACGGATAGATACAATTATCTTCTAAAATGGCTGTCATTTTCTGGCCTTTAAGATATCTTACTTACAAGATACAAATCAGCCCTCTGAATGATATACTTCTAAAATCAATTGGAACAGCAATTTTATCTTTAATGAAAATAGTCTTACATTCTAACTATGTCGATCTAAGTTATGCGAGCTATATTAACAAGATCTCTTTTCTAAGTTGAAATACCTATATTTTAAATGAATTTCATCCTTTACCTTTATATTCTAATGTCAACTTTAGACTTAAATAAGTAAATTCACTGTTCCAATTAAGTATTCTGAAAGAGGGAACGGTAGGTGTTAATATTGTACTATACACTCTATCCATGGCTATGGACAAATGGTTACTTTTTGATCATGTAACAAATCATTTGTGTTATAGACAAGCCTAACACCCTGCTAGCTCAATCTTTAGTCGACCGATCTCCAGTTAGTCAATCATTTGACGTCGACAACGACTAACTCCACCCCCCTACAGAGGGCAAGTGAATATGGCGTTACGTCATGATTCAACGACGTTGTGATTGGCTACTCGGGATTTAAATACAGGGAGCTTTTGGGCGGCAATTCGTATCCCTGACGAAGGAGTTTTGTTACTCCGAAACGCGCGTCGGATTCTCTCTGAGGGGTTCCCCACTCACGGCACTTTAGCACCCCACCGTGCACCATTCACGATGTACTAGGGAATCCTCTCTTCTCTTCCCCCTTCTCTTTCTTTTCTTTTCACTTTTTGATTATGATTATTACTATTTCGTGCTAATCACTATGTCTGCAGGTTGCTTCTAGAGCTCCGCTTTACTCGACAGGATAAAAGTGCGCTATTTATTACTTAGCTTAGAACACCCACGAAGGTGTTTATTAGCAGAAGTGAGGGCAAGTACTTACTACCTAGTTTAGAACACCCACGAAGGTGTTTATTAGCAGAAGCGAGGGAAATAGTATTAGAACGGAATTATTTCCCTTTGCTACATCAGACTTGGGTCTGATTGTATATCCTATTTCTGCTACCTCTCTTCGCTTTTTAGACACTTGCTGTCTCGATTTACTTTTTCTCCATATGAATCTTTAACTTTATACCGCCTCATACAGTAATAATCTGGCGGCTATATTTTCCGTATTGATTCGATACATCTGGAGGGATTGCACTGTTTAGGGGATCTTTACCTACAACATTTTGATCAATAGATCCATTTATGCATTAAGATTAGAGATTATAGGTAATCTATAGGAACCAGTGATTTTTACTTTGTTAATACACAGTGGCTACTGTATCTCTTTCTCTTTAATAGGTTAATAAAGTTGCTACTTTTTTCAGTGGACTTAGAGATACTTTTTATGCACTGTATTCAATTTTATTTTTGACAACTGTTCCTACTCCCCACTTTCTCTGTCTTTTGAGCTCTAGATTCTAAAGAGTTATTAGGTATTATATTCATGTGCACGTATAATTTATACTCTTACCAGCTTGCTTGGTATTTTCCTCTTTCTTCTTAAGAGGAATATATTCGAGCATTTTGTGTGTGCTTTCTATCTTCTATAAAGGGTTCATGCCCATACTAGGTGGAGCTGGTACCGCCTACTCTGACCAATTTTTTCCTAATCACGGATTTAACATTTAACATTTTGTGAATCTGTGACTAAAGAAAAATAACTTTTGTTTATTTTATCCAAAGCGACTTGGAGCTGTGATTGCCACAAAAGGTGGCTCTACAAAGTATTGACTTTAGAAGGGTGAATAGTTATGCACATTGACTTTTTCTGTTATTTTGTCCTATTTGTTGTTTGCTTCACAAAAAAAAAAAAAATCTTCAAAGTTGTGGGCATGTTCTGTAAATTAAATGATGCAAATCCTCAAACAATCCATGTTAATTCCAGGTTGTGAGTCAACAAAACACGAAAAATGCCAAGGGGGGTGAATACTTTTGCAAGGCACTGTATGTATCAAGTTGATCCACTGCCACCATATTATTTAAAAAAAGTGAGAATTGTTGGGAATTAAAAGTAAATTTCTAATTTTGGGTGGAAATAGCTGAATTTGGGAAAAAATCTCCAAGCCAGATATGCTTTGGTTTGGCTATTTTGGTCTAAAATTTGAAGTTCACTTTGAATTCTCATTTTAGTGAATAACTCTGCGTGGGTAATCTGAAGTACAAAGCAACATGGATTAGAGGTAAAGGACATAATTACATGAGGGGGAAATCCTTTCGTAAAATAAAACTGGAGGAATTATTTAGTCAAAAAGAAAATATAAAACTTACTTTAAAATGTTTCCATTTTGTTAGGGATCTACAAAGTTCTCATTTTCCACAGGCCCTGAAAAAATTAAACATGAGTTGAATCAAAAGATAGACTTGAAAGATTCTAAAGAGTTATTAGGTATTATATTCATGTGCACGTATAATTTATACTCTTACCAGCTTGCTTGGTATTTTCCTCTTTCTTCTTAAGAGGAATATATTCGAGCATTTTGTGTGTGCTTTCTCGCTTTGGATAAGTCTCTATGAGCTTGCCACATCTTACCACTGGGATTTTTGCCCATTCCTCCTTGCAAAACTGCTCCAGCTCCTTCAAGTTGGATGGTTTGCACTTGTGAACAGCAATCTTTAAATCTAACCACAGATTTTCTATTGAATTAAGGTCTGGGCTTTGACTAGGCCATTCCAACACATTTACATGTTTCCCCTTAGACGACTCAAGTGTTGCTTTAGCAGTGTGTTTGGGGTCATTGTCGTGCTGGAAGGTGAACCTCGGTCCTAGCCTCAAATCACACACAGAGTGGTACAGGTTTTGCTCAAGAATATCACTGTATTTAGAACCATCCATCTTTCCCTCAACTCTGACCAATTTCCCAGTCCCAGCTGATGAAAAAACATCTCCACAGCATGATGCTGCCATCACCATGTTTCACTGTGGAGATGGTGTTCTTTGGGTGATGTGATGTGTTAGGTTTGCGCCAGACATAGCGTTTTCTTTAATGGCCGAAAAGTAAAATTTTAGTCTCATCAGACAAGAGCACCTTCCTCCATACATTTTGGGAGTCTCCCAAATGCCTTTTCACAAACTCAAAATGTGCCATTTTGTTTTTTGCTGAAAGTAATGGCTTTCTTCTAGCCACTCTGCCATAAAGCCCAACTCTATGGAGCGTACGACTTATTGTCATCCTATGTACAGATATTCCAGTCTCTGCTGTGGAACTCTGCAGCTGCTCCAGGGTTACGCTCTCTGATTAATGCCCTCCTTGTCCGGTCCGTGAGTTTTGGTGGGCGGCTATCTCTTGGAAGGTTTGCTGTTGTGCCATGTTCTTTCCATTCGGTTATGATAGATTTGATGGTGCTCCCGGGGATCATCAAAGATTTGGATATTTTTTCATAACCTAATCCTGACTTGTACTTCTCAACAACATTGTCCTTTACTTGTTTGGATAGTTCCTTTCAAAAAAGGTGTGTATATGTAATGACAGATCATGTGACACTTATATTGCACACAGCTGGACATCATTTCACTAATTATGTGACTTCTGAAGGTAATTGGTTGCACCAGAGCTTTTTATGGGTTTGATAACAAAGGGGGTGAATATATACACACATGCAAATTTTCTGTTTTCTATTTCTAAAAAATAGTTTTATATATATATTTTTCTCATTTCACTTCACCAACTTAGACTATTGTGTTCTGATCAATCACATAAAATTCAGATTACTAAAACATTGAATTTAAGGCTGTAATGTAACAAAATAGGTAAAATGTGAATGTGAATACTTTTGCAAGGCACTGTACATGTCATAGCACCATACAAATATAGAGAAGCACCAATACTATCCGCTATGTTTTAAACTGTTCATTAGCAGGAATTTACCTCTTATCCAGGTTGCTTTATACTTCAGATTACCCACGCAGTTATTCACTAAAATGTGAATTCAAAGTGAACTTCAGATTTTTGACCAAAATAGCCAAACCAAAGCATATCTGGCTTGGAGATTTTTTCCTGAATTCAGCTATTTTTGCCCAAAATGTTTAATTTACTTTTGATTTCTGACAATTCTCACTTTTTAAAATAATCCTGTCAGTGGTGGCTGTGGATATACTTAATACATACACGTCATAGCACTATACAAATATAGATAGGGTCAGTATATCCGCTATGTGCTAAACTGTTCATTATCAGGAATTTACAACAGACAAGAGGTCACCCATTGAGACTGGAAGAAAGGCACTTTTTGCTTGCAGCAGAGGAAAGAGTTCTTTACAGTGAGAACAATAAAGATGTAGAATTATCAGCCTAAATAGGTGGTCTTATTAGATTCTATAGATATAAAAAAAAAATGTATCTGAACACGCCATTAATCCAAGGGATGGCTGTGGCTCAGCGGTTCCTTCTATATCAAGCATTGCTGAATAATCCACTTGAAGGATAAATTCCCAGAGGCGCTATCTAACCTTTTTTTATGTTATTACACTCATTTAACAGAATGTTTTAAGTAACAATTTTGATAAAGAAAAAAGATTTTGCTTTTGTGCTTATACAAATAGAAAGAAAGTGGAAAAAAATAGAAAGTGATACTATGCTTGTATTGATAGTTAATACAATTGCTAAGAATGACTATAACGGTAGTACATTGTTTCCCCTTAGTATATAAATATATATATATATATAATTATGTGTTTTCATTTTAATATTGTCATACAAAAAAGATTAACACAACAACATAAAAGAAAACAATTGCCATTAAACAGCTCAACAGCCTTGATTCCTGTGTAGCAGGTTCTAAACTCCTGACCTAATTTTTTTTCAATATTTTTAATCCAAACTTCCCATTTCTCTATATTTTTATTTCTGTTGTTTATGAAATTGTCTATATCTTTTTCATTCTTGCGTTTTTCTAATATTTGTTCTATTAATCTTTTTTTGAGCAGTTTGTAGACAGTTTTATGACAGTTTTTAGCAGTCATATTTTTAGCAGCTATTAATATATTTATTATAAGTTTATATTTATCTTTAGCTACATTTGGGATCCCTAAGTGATGTAACAATACCTCTAATCCAGGTTGCTTTGTACTTCAGATTACCCACGCAGAGTTATTCACTAAAATGTGAATTCAAAGTGAACTTCAAATTTTTGACCAAAGTAGCCAAACCAAAGCATATCTGGCTTGGAGATTTTTTTGCAAATTCAGCTATTTTTGGCCAAAATTGGAAATGTACTTTAATTCCCAACAATTGTAGTTTGTAAAATCGTCTATATCTTTTGCGTTCTTGCGTTATCAAATTTTTGGTCTATTAATCTTTTTTTGAGCATAATGGTTTTTCTTTCCAGTTTTTAGCAGTCATATTTTTAGCAGCTAGAAATATATTTATTATAAGTCTATATTTATCTTTAGCTATATTTGGAATCCCTAAGTGATGTAACAATACCTCTGGTCTAATGAAAAGCACAATATCCATGAAATATTTAATGAAGTATACAAAATCTCTCCAAAGAGGGACAATTAGTGGGCAGTTCCACCACACAATAATCCCCATTAGAATTTCCACATCTCTAGTAATTATTTAGTTCACGGGGATATATTTTAGCTATCTTACTTGGTACCAGATACCATCTATTAGGAAGAATTGTAATTCTTGTAGATTTAAACAATGGGTAGTTTTATATGTCCCACTCACTCAGCTCATGTTTCATTTTTTCAAGGTCTGGGGAAAATGAGAACCTTGTATGTCCCTAACAAAAGGGAAGCATTTTGAAGTAAGTTTTATATTTTCTCTTTGACTAAATATTTCCTCCAGATTTCTTTTAAATTCTCCTTCCTTCATTAATGATTTTATATGGAAGGAATTCACCCTCATGTAATTGTATAATTCCCTTTCTTGTACGGCATATTCTGAATATAGTTGGAATGGCTTTACCACATCATTTATTAAAATAGCAGATTTTTTAAACTGAAATGAGCCGCTCTCCCAGATCAATATTCTCCATGAGGTATTGTAGTATATGGAATGGAAGAGATTTTATTTGTGCCTAAGATATCTTGTTTTTCTTCTTTTTTTTTCATATAAATATTTATTGATGTGTTTTTATAAAATGATACAAAAGAGACAATAACAATTACTTCCAAGTATCAAGTGTTGGTCGATCTACCCAGTTACTTAGTAATTACAGGACAATGATATTATATTACAAACAAGTAAAGCAGAAATTACACCATTAATAAATGAATGAATTGAATTCCAGTCTCGTAGATCTTATCTTCCCAATACACACCTCATTTTAAATTATAGGGCCCATCCTAACAAAATTGAGAGGAGGAGTCGGGACATGGCTCAGGAAAGACTGTTTACACTCAATAGAACATTCATGGGGTAACTCTGGTCGATAGGAACAAGCATATTTTTATACCTCTTGGATAAAGATATTCCATAAATTCCATCCATATTTGGTTATAGGTAAGGGCTCCCTCTCCATCTTTAATTGGAAAGAAATTTGTACTTTTAGCAATTGTTTACAGAGTTTTACAATACACTTTTTTGCTGCTACCAAAATATGTGTAGCTATATACTCATCTTTTTTTGAGAGTTTAAGCCAGCCAAGATGTAATAGGGCAATTTCGGGCGAAAAAGTTCATATGCATATTTACAAGATTACCTAATATATTGTATGTTAATTCCCAGAATGGTTTTAATTTTGAGCAGTTCCACCAAACATGAAAATAAGATCCATCTATGTGATTACATCGCCAACACAAAGAAGAATATAAGGGGAACTCCTATTAATTTTCAATGGAACCAGATGCCATCTAGTTAGAATTTTATATTGTAGCTCTATGAGATTTAGGCAATGAATCAATTTCTTACATTTCGGTATAATCTTATACCAGTCTAAGAATGTTATATCTATTCCAAGGTCTATTTCCCACTTATTTTTAATATTAATAACTGGATCTATATTTGGGTCTCTTTCATCAAAGATTGAACTTTTCATCAAAGTACGGATACTATCTCCATTTTTTAAAAGAGACTCCAAGCCTATGATTTTGTTACCTGTTTTACATATAATGCTTCTCAGATAGCTTTTTATTCTGAGGTAAGTGAGCACTTCTTTTGGGGGTAAATAAAATGCCAGAGTCAATTCATGGAAAGGTTTGATGTGAGATCCATTCACTATATCTGCTAGGACAGTTATACCATTGTTTTTCCGTATATCTATATTCATTTCTTCCATGTTATATTCTAGCAGGGTTATGCTACAATTAGCTCTAATACTTTTCTCCCATGATAACTTGTACTCCGTCTTAAATCTGGACCAGAACTTAAAAATTTCATATGTTAAAAAGTGTTTCCCAAATTTGTTCTCCGCGGTCTCATCTATATTCACATGTCTGTGCACCGAAATGCGCGTCAGGTTCCTTCCTTTCCTTCACAGGGCACTTTCACTTATTGGAAGACAGAAAGAGAGAACGGACTGAAAGTCCAAATGTGAGAATAACGATTGAAAAAGGAAGCCCTACATTTAATAAATCTAAGGGAAACTAAAAGGGAAGTGGACAAAAAAGAGGAAGGGAAAAGCTAGAAAAGCAGCGTAATATCTATGATAGCGACATACTGTAAAGGCATATGGACACAGAAAATCTGTGTAGAGGATCAGCTAAATAAGCTGAAAAAATGCCAAACTGCCTACACAGAGCAGCAGGAATATACAGAGGTAATAGAATAGGTGGGGGAAAGAAAGCAAAAAAAAACGTTTCCCATAGTTTAGTATCTCTTTTAGTTCAGATTGGTATTGGGTGGTGGGATCATTGTCTAATTTCAGATAAGTACCAATGTCTCCCAATAATCTCTGGTTCTCTTCGATGTAGTCTTCGGTATTTAAAATGACTAATCCACCTCCATTGTCTGCTGCTTTGATTGTGATGTCCTTCGATTTCATAAATTGTTTCAGTGAACTTCTCTCCCTTCTTGTCAGATTATTCTTGGTGATCTTATTGGTAATCTTATTCCTAAAATCTTTTTCTACCATCTTTTCAAATACTTTAATAGAGTCATTTTTGTTCTATCACTTGTTGTGTTGGATCTTTGTCCATGAAGAATTTTTTGATTGAAACTTTTCGAACTTGTGTATGAACTTGTATATGAACTTGTATATGAACTTGTGTAGATCTATACATATGTTAGAATCTGATTTCTTTGATGTGGGAGCAAATTTTAAGCCATTTCTTAGAAGGAATGTTTCATCCTGATCTAGAATCCTGTTAGATAAATTAAAAATGCTCACTTCTTTCTTTTCTGCTGAATCTGGTCTTCATGTTGGTCTGTTTCTTCTTCTAGATCTCTTATTGTCCTTTTCTTTCTCACATCTGGTGATCTGAAGTCTTCCACTGAGAATTTTCAGGGGGGGGGGAGCCTCCCTCGTTTTTCTAAAAAATCGTTTTCGGTACTAATATTGGGGATAGGTGGGTGAAGTGTCTGATGGTGTGTAGGATCGGTCCTTCTGGGATTTGAAGAAGGAACTCTGAGGACTGGAGATTGGTTCTTCAGATAGTTGGTGGTCTTCTGTTCCTGAATGGTTGTTGGAATGCTGGTTGTGCTTGATGGTGGTAATGCCTTCCCTGATGTGAGTATTCTGTGTTCCTATAGTTGTACTTTTGGTGATGTCTACTGGTATGTCATCTTGCCTTCTATTGTATGTTTGTCTGTTCTGTGTCCAGTTGGAAGAAGGATACTTCGTAGGAGTTTTCTGAGACACCAGAGCATTCCTCTGTTCTATATTTGGTGGGGGAATGGGAACGAAGTTTGGTCTCCTTCTTCCAGTTCCTCTGCGTCTGGGTCCTGTAGTCGGCCTGATCTCTCATAATTTTCTTTCTTTTAGTTTTTCTGATGTTTTCTTCTATGTCTTTCACTCTTTTCTCCATCTTTTCTAATAGGTCCGCATATTCCCCACTTTTTACCAGGGGGTGCATAGAGGCTTTTAGTGCTGTTGTATTAAGTCTTTCTTCTTTTCATTGATGAGGAACACCATGAGTAATAGTGAACCCTTATCTAATAGTTGGTCCCATTTTTTAAGGTTAAATCGTGGCATTTATAGGCTGATTTTTTGAATAATCTTAGGCCTCTTGGTACTGTGTTGTTATTCCCATAAAAGTCTAGAGCTGCTATGTCCCACCATACATGTACCTCTTTCTCCATAATCTTCCCCAATTGGTAAATGAGAGATCTGACATCATCAGAACGTTTCTGAGGTTGGGGGATTGATTCAACATCGGGTTGGATGTCTTCTTTAAATGACCAAGTGTCCATAAAAGATTTCCTGTCAAGACTAATGGAATCAATATTTTAAATACCGAAGACTACATCGAAGAGAACCAGAGATTATTGGGAGACATTGGTACTTATCTTAAATTAGACAATGATCCCACCACCCAATACCAAGCTGAACTAAAAGAGATACTAAACT